GACTTCTAGCGGTTGCTCTCTCACTTTCTTGCTTGACTTATTCATCTCAGGTCTACTTTGTGGATAGAAATACAAGTCTTTACAAATAGTTGAGGAAACTTTTGCATAAACTGGAAAATTATTTAGCCAACTTCGCAATCGCTGAATCCGTCCGCATTTTCAACATTCAGCCACGCCCTTATGTCCTTAGGTAAATCTGAACAGGTGGGAACTTTCTCCAGTCAAACTTACAACTTTACTGAGATTTTGTGAATTTTTTGTTTTGCCTCCGAATGAAACATGGGAAGTTTACAATATAATATAGTATCGAAGAAGAATTCCCTAAAAACGTCAATCTTTTTTGGTGATCCCGTTGGTCTCTCCATCAAACAGATGCTTCTCAGTAGAATTCTCCAGCCCCATTGTGTTGACCAGAGATGAAAAAAGAGAAAAGAGGACAGAAACGTCTGTTGAGCGAAGGCCATCAAAATAGAGGAGAGGTCGGTGTTCTCGGCGACAAATGCCGAGAATTCGGAGCAACTGGCGCCAGCTGTCACATCAATGAAAAACGAATTGAGCCGTCTGTCGTGGCATAGGTGTTGCGGGTGGCGGATACGCAAAACACTGGAGACAAGCGAGAGAGAGAACTTTAATGATGTTCGAAGCAATCATGGCAATTCAAGTGGCTTCGCAGAATGCCGATAATGACCTACGTAAACGTTTTTCGGGAATACAGGCAGGGCAAGTGATGAAGACTATGCTGATCATTTCTCTCAGTATGTGCCACACGTCTGAGCTCTAATCCTAGTCGTAAGCGCATCAAAATGTGCATCTGTTATACATGAGGGCTCAAAAATTCTTTGACTCCTTTCACCTGAATATTCAGTCTCGTACTCGCTGCCGCTTTCTTGGAGGCAAGCATATGTATGAAGATATCACAAAATGAGTGTTTCAAGCTGTAGCTGGCCAACATGAGATCAAACTCAAAGCCAAACAACTCATGTCATAAAGGACAAAGAAAAAGCCTGTGGTGTTAATTAACCCCTTTTTTGGGATGAACCCCCACCTCCACTCGGAGTCTTCCAGTAGTGGATGTTGGAATGCGCATGAGGCCTAACAATGTTTCGCAATGGTCAGCCGATATATGTGTAAGCCGTAAGTGTTTGTCTTCCTGGAACCAGCCGACCTCGGGAGATTGGAAGGCCTCAAATTCCCCAGGCTCAATTAGGCTGGGCGGATATCGACCCCAGATTCGATTTACTTACAGGATATATGATATGACTATTTCCGCCACTCACCACTACGTTACCCCTAGTGCGTTATCGACATGTACCATAGGAAATGGAGGAAAAGCGACATTGGTGCCATCTCTCTCAAGTATCAGGTCACACGTTCAAAAGTTCGCAGTCACTCGAACCGCTGGTGGGGAAAGGAAAAAGGCTGGACCCACCGACCTTGTTTCTAATAGAAGGTAGTAGTTAGTTGCGCCACTGCCCAATCAGTCACACTGCACATAACTGCAGAGGGGAAAGTTCAAAAATTGAAAGGAATGTGATCAGCCAGGAATCAACTCGGAGTTCTTATTTGGGACGTCTCGAAAGGGAAACCCGCTGCTCCAACTCATCATAAGTTGAACCTCATTTGCAAGATCAGACGTTCCCTGAGCATCATGTCGAAAAAAAAGGGTGCCAATTTTTGAAAAGGATGATCGAGTACAGTGAAAAGTCGAGGTGATGCATGCGATGTTCATCTGCTTGCGAGGGGAGCCTCTTTCAAGAGCGGCATTGGCAAAAAGCCAAACATGGACGTATTTGCATGCTGAGCAAAAAGTAACAAGCGTCGAAAGTGGATTGATTCAGATGAGGAACCGCCAAAATTTACCTATGAAGAGTCACGTAGTTCCAAGCAGGCACCTGCCGTGACTGTAAAATTTCAGGGCGTGATTTTTTGTTGGCTCTACATTGAGGAAAAGAGTGTCATTGCTGATGTATCATCAATATCTCTACAATTGGATGACAGAACGCAATTACGAGAAAAATATTACCGGTTAAGAATGTACGTGAAGCTCGACGGTGCTCAAATTGTGTAGCAATTTCGGGAGCAAAGATAATGAAACGCTAATTCAACCATCATGTTCACGGTGCGACCTTAACTGTTCTGGTCAACTGTGTCAGTGACAATTGCTTTGCGACTAATGGGTCGCCAGAACAGACCTAAACCGCATTAACTCAGTTTTTATCGAGGAAAGGGAGTCGCTGCTCAGATGGTTTGGATGCTCGGAATGAATTGTTGACAACAACGTAGCCTACTCGACTGAATACTAATATTTCGACTTTTCTCATTTGCTCTCATTTCATTATTTTATTCTAACGAAGCTTTCAAACTTTTTAAGAAATGATTGATCAACCGTACTAGAATTACAAGTATATATAGAGAACCAAGGTAATGGAGGCCCAAATATAGACATCGAAGACCACCTAGGTGCAGGGGATGCAAGACTTCCCCATTACGGATAGTACTCAAGAGAATCAAGAAATTAACTTGCTCTGGAGCAGATCTTGAAATGGACTTGATGGCATAAAAAGTGAACGAAGATCATTCTCAATGGGGAGACTGATCAAAATGCTAAACAAACCGTTATCAACGTTTAGAATCAGTGACTGAATCTTTTCAAGGCATAGTTCTCTCCTTAAAGGCAGAGTTCACGATAAAAAAAGCCTATGAGATATACCCCTAGGATAAATTTGTGGCTCCTCGTATACCATATGTGGCACAGTCAGGTCGCAAAACGGCTGTATAGGGCGTTATAAATGCTCAAAGATTGTCTCGATCGTATCTTCGGACGATTTTCGATTGCAGAGGCTGCACCGGTCACAACGGAACCCATGTAGGAAGTGCAAACAACTTGCCATGACCCATAGCGGCAGTGAAAGATAATTCTGCACAGTTTTGGCTCGATTTAGTTAGCTCATTACGCAATCACAACAGCTGAAATCTTGTCCGAATTCTCCTTCCGTCATGGTAATCTCGTCCAACCTCTGTTTCCCCTACTTCTAAGGAGGCTTACTTCCTCGAGGTCGACAAAACCGAGTTTCAACGTCATTGTAGAAGCTGCATCATTCACAGTAGAGTAATAGGAGCGGTCATACAGCTCAGCAGACTGCGCGACCAAGACATGAATAAACAATCAGTTTATTAGTGTGATGGTGAATAAGTATCAGTCCAGTCGGGGTCCTTGTCCCTGGTGAGCCCAGAGGTGACTGCCGACGAAGGTCACGAGTCCATGATGGCGACATGCTTGATCCTCTCGTGTGCGGCCGGCGAGCTTCCATCCTCTCTCGATGTTGCCGTTCGCGAGCCTTAAATACGAAACATGAGATGAGTCAGCTATCGTAACCTACATGCTCTCTGCCCTCTCACCCTGTCAGCCTTATCCCAGCTGCGATCTCCCCACCAGGAATCAATGAAAAAGAAATAATAAGGGGGTTCACTTAGATCTTCTACTCGCTCACATTCCGGTGATCTTACAGCCTCTTACACCTCCCCACACTGTAAAAAAGTCCGTCCTCGGACTTAGAAAAGTGAAGTATAGGAAAAATAACTGAGCTCACCTGAGGAATAAGTTAGAATGCAAAGAAACCGTCTCACTCGAGTAGCGCGGATGCTGTAGTAACTGCGTGTCGATTGTGAGCGCATTGGAGAATGTCGTGCCAATAAGATAGACCTACTGGAGACTGCTCGTGACCCAGGACAAATTGGCCGTGCCGACAACGGGAAAGGGCGACATTAATTCGATGGGGGTCGTTGAGGAACTTGCCGCGATCCGCGTCAAAGCCTGTTCTTGTGGTGAGCAGAATGACTATGTCCTTTTCTCGACTTTGTACCGAATCCACCGTATGTAAGTCGATGTTGTTGCTCCGCGCGAAGTGGGATAGGACGCGTGCTTGTTCTTTATAGAAGACGATGATGGCGATAGAAGAAGGTTGAATATTCTTCCGAATGAGGCTCAGAACAATCTCGCGACAGGTTTCAGCTTCTACCGGATTGCTATATGAGCCGGTAAGGGCTTTCGAGGATTTCCCTGGAACTCCGACGAAGAGGAATGGCAGCTTTGGGTTAGGGCACCGGACGTTGGATAAGAACATTTGACGTTGGTCTGCGTGTGTTCCATTAGTGGGTGTATTGTTGTAGAAGATCAAGTTAGGGAGCTCGTTGAGCAAAGGGTGGGCGCGGAAGGTTGTCGTGAGTGGCGCCGTGGGGACTCCTTTTGCTAAGAGATGTCCATGATTCCTTGAGCTCCGAATCGTGCTGGATTGGTGGAGCGAGGGCAGCGGACATGTGGTTCCAGCTGGTGAATGTCTCCTACGTAGATGTGTCTAGCCCGTGGAACGTGAGTAACCAGAGCTATTAACGCCGGTTAACGGAATTTGAGATGCTTCATCGCCAATGAGGAGGGAGAATTGGTCGATCCATTTGTTGAATATGCCGTCCGTGGTGGTGGAGTTGAGTAGAGCTGACGTGGTGATGACCAGTACTGCCGGCGGACGCACCTCGAACATAATGGCAACCGCATCGCGCGTCATCTGGGATATGTCGCGTTCCGGTATTCATCGCGCTCTGCGTCGGACAAGTCAATGGCTATGTCGCGATCGAACATGAAGCGCTCCAAGAGCTCCTGACCTCGTTTGTACTTGAGGCATGTGTCGAGCGCCAAAGGGGCGAGCCGGTCACCGTAGTCGACGGGAAGGCGCTTGAGGATCACGTGGAGGTCTACAGGCGTCTGAGGTGCACCTTCCACAGGCGCTGAGTCAGAAACGTATTGAAGGATATTTACTGTGTTTGCGGCGTCGATGGACAAGGCGGTGTCCGTGAATTGAGCTGCCGCAGTGTTGACCGTGGTAGTGGCGATGACCTGTTAATGATCAGCGGTTGCCAGGTGAGTATGGATCGCGTTAAGGGCCGCAGTTAAGGTTTTCCCAGTGCCAAACGCAGCCTGGATGGCCAGGATGGGTAGGTGTCGGTCACCCATCTGCAGTGCTGCGACCTGGTCTGAACGCAGTGGAAAAGATTGGCCGTTGACCGAAACGAAAACATGCGCTGCTTGAGGGCCAGCAGACCCGAGTGGAGTAACTCGCGTTCCGTAGACGGTGTCGAGGATGATTGTAGCTAGGGAGTCCTCGTCGACACGTCCGAACAACTGATGCTGCGAGGTTAGTTCGTACAGCGGCTCGGCTCCTGACGGTCGAGATCCAAGCTTCACACATACGTCCACCGGGATAACGTCATTGCTGATGGTGCGCACTGCCATAGAGCGGGTCTCATAAGAGTGCTCGATTGCTCGATAGTTGTCCGCATGAGCGTTTGAGAGCCAACAATCCATAGGTAGACTGGTCGGTTATTGGTCTATCCGCATTCTGAAGACATATCAGTGATAACAAAGTCGAAGCGGAAGGGGAACGCGCCCATGCTCGGAACGGTGGCGGTAAGCCTATGGGTCGATTTGTCGTCATCCAAAGCGTTGACTGCGACCAACGCCGAGCAAGCGGCGTTGAAGAGCTGCGCCATGCGTCGTCGAGCTTCTGCCGGGTTGCGCGGGTAGTTGGTGAACGAGGCCGCCCTGTCTGCGATCCATTCCTTTTCGGTGTTGGTGAGTTTGAACACTCGCAGGGGGAGCATCCCTTCCTCTGGATGAGCTGGTAGGAAATCACGCACCAGCAAGCAGAGCTTCGTCTGCGCATCTCTTGAAGCCGGAAATTTTGAGAAACGGACTGCGCAGGATGAGTTTGCCCTGATCTTGGCCGAAACAACTTCGACATGTTCAGCTTCGCTCACCGGAAAATCGCACACCGATGGAGAAACCTGCACGGCCTCTGGAGTTCCTTCGAAAGCAATGCGCAACCCTTTCACTGCTTCATACCGTGCTACGACGGAAAGGACGATACCGAGCGTTCGTCAGGTGGTCAGCCGAGGAGGAACGAACGTGAACTCTTTCGCTCGGAAGAAAAGCGGAAATCGTCTGTCAAGAGCGTTTGCCTTCGGAATACGGGCCTGCTTGAGCGCCATGTCCGCCATAGTTGGTTCTACGGTGTAGACTCACACAAGGTCCTTTACAGAGAGGAGTAACCGATAGAATCCTCAGGAATTGCTTTCGACGTTCGTTGCATACTGATCTAGAACGATGAGATGGAGCTCACGTCGGTCGGGGCCAGGAATAAAGAAATCTTAGCCTCTAGAATGACGCCTTGGCCGAGTCCTTTGTTGACAACCTGGTACAAGACGGGCAACTGAGCGCGGACTCGCGGAAGAATCGCGCCAGGCATAGAGCCTTCAGGGGTAGGAGGCGCCGTGTTCTCAGTAGCGGTGTATTGTCCACGAATGAGTTGATCGATGATGGTATGAGAGGCCTGTCGGAATGCCACGGCGTGTTCTAGACGCATCACCTCGATAACTGGGAGACGGCGAAGTACGTGAGGCTTCTCTTTGAAGGTGTGAGGGAACAAACGTTTCACGAGCTTAGTCGAGAGATATCCGCCTGCGGGAATATGGCTGTACAGGTCGAGTGGCATCGCAGACGTTACTTCCACTGGCGAGGCAGGAAGAGGCGTATCGTGAAGTGTGACCAGATGCGCCCAGGGGTGGCTCTCGATGAGATGGTGAGGGTGATAAGGTGGCGTAAACTCGGGTAAACGTTGGTGAGTCGTAGTCAAGACTTCGTCGGTATTGCGAGGTCGTTGAGGGCGACGTACGGGAGCTGGCGGAAGTCTCGGGAGTTAGAAAAACGGCAGAAACGGCATTCTTGGCAGCGGCGGCTGCTTGTTGACGAGCGATGACATAGCATAGGAGAATTTGTATGGAAATTTTCGCTTCCGATGTAGTTGAAGCAGTAGCAAAATCCATCAAAGGAACTGAAGTAACAACAGGCTCTGACAGAGGAGAACAGCTCCGGTAGGCTCACCTATGGCGACATCGGCCCCCGAGGTGGCGTGAGGGGGGCGAATCAGGAGGTAAGGGGATCTGGTCGAGGGGTGTTTCCGATGGAACTTCGACCTTTACTTCGATGACAGGGTCGCAGGGGGTGCAGTATCCATGTCCTGAGAAGGAGTCAGAGTTGGATCGATGAGTAAATCGGCCATGCCCTGGGATAGTACGGTCACTTCGCAGTCAATAGGTTCTTCATCATTGACAGGCGAAGCGTCATCAAGCACCGTAGAGTCCCCCACACTCGGGTCGGTAGAGTCAACCGGCACCGGAGGGGGCGGAGACCCTGAAAGGACGTAGTACGCTATGTAAAAAGGGAAGGACGAAGACGAGGCCCCGCTACCTGGCTGGGTGTCGTTTATCACTTGGTCGATGTCTGGAACGGTGACAGGATCACCTACGCCTAGAGGTTGATCGACAGAACGTTCAGAGTCCATAAGGACGTGCGCTTATGTGGAAGCGGGCCAGATGAGCCTAGGGAGATGCGGTGAGACACGATAAGCTCACGTCGACGGCGGACCAAGACAAGCAAATATCGCGGAATAATAGCGAAAAATTATGGAAAATCCGTTGGAATACCAAAAAAAACACAATAATAAACGAAAATAAGTGAAAGTGAAAGTGCGAATAGTAGCAAATGACCCGATGATAGATTGGAATGTATGAAAAGCTAAATGGGAGTTGTGCGCTTACGAAAGCGTGTATTGTAGCAGTGAGAGATTGAGGGAGAGAAAGAGGCCGAGGGCGGGTGTGTTACGTTATGTGAGTAACCCGCGACTTCAGCGGTCTCGGCCTCGGAACGGGTCAAAGCGGCCTCTTCTTCGAAGAGTGTCCAAGGAGAAGAGAAAACCGGTCCAGATAATGCAATACACTTTTTGACCTGGTTCATATGAACTCTTTTAGGTGGAGACTGAGGGGATGTTATACTAGTTATTATGAGGTGAGGATGCTCAACCGAAATTACAGGAAACTGGCCCAACCAAGGGAAGCAGAGTTTAGAGGAAAGGCCGACCTTGGGAGCAAAATCCCTGAGATAAACTCGATCTCCAACCGATACTTGAAGAGGGGGTAACGTCGATTCATCATACTGTTTTTTGAGCGCTAGACTCCGCTCGGCATTATAGGCAGCTGCGGAGGTCCAGGCTGAGTGAAGGGCAGAAACCAAGGATTCCTTGTAAATACTGGCATCAGCGTCGGATGGAATATGCTAAAATGCCTGGTGTTTGAACATAAGGTCAATGCTAAAGACAGGGTTACGTCCAGATATCATAAAGAAAGGAGCTTCATTAGCGCTCGAATGGATGCTAGTATTATAAGAAGAGACACAAGCAGGTAAGAAGATGTCCCAATCTAACTGGTTGTCACTAATATATGGCCGCTGCCTTCGTGATAATACGGCGTACAATAATATCTACTAATACGGAGTGATTTACCCAATTCTGTCATGAGATCACCCTTGAGGTAAGATGCGTTATCAGAGATCAGCTCAGTCATCGCCCCTTATTTGAGAATGCATTCATTCATGAGACAACGGGCGACAGATGTCGCAGAACAATCAGGCAAAGGGGCAGCTATCACGTACTCAGAAAAGTGGTCAATGAGGCACATGATGTATTTATTAGAAGAAGATGAGGTGTGGTAAGGACCACTAAGATCGAGATAAACCTTGTAAAAAAAGGCGACGGCGAACATTAAGAGCTAAGAAGAGAAGGTAAGAGGAGCTCGCGGTTGGCCGGATGACTTCGTTTCTTCTGACATGCGTCACAAGAACGGACATATAGATACACATCTTCTTTCATAGTCGGCCGAAAGAACTTACGAGCAATTTTGCCTACTGTCTTCTTCCAACTAAAATGACCGCCCGACGTCGGACTGTTGTGAAAAGCAATGCAAACGGGCTCACGAAGCTTAACCGGAAGAAAAAGAGCATCGTACTTGCTTCCACGTCGTTGACACGTTCTGTAAAGGCAACCATTCGTATGAATTGAGCAAAAGTCGGCGAGTGCCATCACTTCGGTCTTGTCAGAGTCGGACGCTGTCAGCGGAAAATCATCTGTTTCTAAAAAATGCATTATAGAATTACATAAAGAGTCTTGCTTTTGCTCGATTAGAATATCTTATGGACGGATACGGATAGGATCTGGTTCGGGAGACTGAACTAGGCAAACGAGAAATTCTACAATATCCTCCGATCCTGGAGTGCCATCGATAAAGCGATTACTATCAGACTCATTCCGACTAAGGAAGTCAGCTACTACATTGGACGAACCCCTTGAGATACTCTATTTTGATGTTATAACTCTGAAATTCTACCGCCCATCGTGCAAGATTGTCATGGGTTTTATTGTGGCGGAGCAAGAAGGTGAGAGGCTTATGATCTGAGTATATTCGTGTAAGATTGCCGTATATGGTGGACCTAAAGTAGCGTAATGCGCTAACCATCGCGAATAGCTCGATATGCGTTGGGCTCCACTTCCGTTGGGACTCCGACAGGGTTTTGCTGAAGTATCCTACCGCTGCAAGCTTAGACGAGTCCTCCTGTTGTTGCAGCAAGGCTGCTCCTACGGCAACTTTGCTACCATCGGTATGAAGAATAAATTCACAGTCTCTCGGAAAGGCCAAGCATGGCCGGGAAATAAGTGCCTCCTTGATGGAGGTGAAAGCCTTTTCTTGATCAGGGGTCCATTCAAACTTAGCCTTGCCCTTACACAAGTCGTAAAGCGGGGAAGGTATGGCTGCAAAGCCCTTGATGATTTTACGGAAAAAGTTTGCCATGCCAATAAAGCCTTTAATGTCCTTCACTGTCCTTGGGCGCGGGCGATCCCGAATAGCGCGGATGTTACGTTCGGCAGGGCAGTAAACCGAACAAGAGATTTCGTGCCCCAAAAAAGTGATTTTGGACCGCGCGATTTCGGTGAGCTTCTTACCAGACGCTTTAATGTTATATAATCGAAACCGCTTAAAGACTTTGCGAAGCGAGTTAAGGTGCGACTCGAAATCCTTATCGAAGACGATGATATCGTCGAGATAGACGAGACAATTACCCTCCAAGCCTCCTAGGATACGTGCCATTGCTCTTGAAAAATAAGCGCCAGCGTTGCGGAGGCCAAAGGGCAGGTAAACGAATTGATAAATTTCTCTGCGCGTCGCCCAACCGCACTTAGCTTGACTCTCGGGGTCTAGTAACAATTGCATGTATCCCGAGGCTAGGTCTAAGGTCGTGTAAAATCGATTGCAGCCACCTTTTCCAGAAGGTCTTCAATTCTTGGGAGGGGATAATGATCTGGAATAGTGACGTCATTAAGAGGACGGAAATATAGACAGAGGCGGAGCGAACCATCCTCTTCCGAACTAGTACGGTATTGTGGACCCACGGGGTATCGCTTTCCACGATCCTACCAGCCTTTAGCAACTTATTGATGTGTTCGTCTAGCTCCTTCTGAAAACGGGTCGGTATTCTTGTTGGTCTATACCGAGAGGGGGGTATTTCGGTTGTAGTTCTGATCGAAACGGGAGCCAATTCGTAGGAGCCCAAATCGTAAGATGACGTGGATATACGGTCCTGTTATTCCTCAAAGAGTTTCTGTAATTTACGTCGTTGGTCCTCATCGATCTCTGCGTGAGACAAATCTACACGAAACGAACAGGCTCTCGAAGACGAGCGATCAGCTCTGTTAAGCTCAACACTTGCTAAAATACGGGCGCTTAAAGCAAGGTAGGGGTTCAGAAAGAGTTCCGTCCTCTGCCTCGTCGAGGACAACCCCATGTGCCAGCCGCTGGTTCCGATAGAAAACTTGAGATACCCCGGTTGGGTTTGTGACTAGCAGACATGAATTTGAGGAAAGAAGTACCGTAAGGGTTACGTATCTTACCTCACACGGCATAGTGCACAACGTCGCATCTTTGGGCGAAACAGTCACATAACAGGGGACTAAAGTCTCAGTGCCGGGGGGAAGAACAGTGGTCTCAGAAACTCGGACAGTCGCCCCTTTTTTGCAATCGCTTGAGAGAATGGGAAGAGAGCCGGCGAAAATTTGCACCTGATCTGAACCCATATAGAATAGGCGGTTGTCATAGTCGAGAGACCATGCCGGCAACCGGCGCAACACATCGTTCCCTAAGATGAGATCATAGGAATCAGCTTGCGCTGGAACGCACTGCCTTTTGGTGAAATGGACTGTTTGCTTAAGCAATTCGCTACCTATTTCCAAATTCACTATAGCACTTTCTACGAACTTAGCGGGAATGCCAGCCATCCCGATTGCCGAAGGCACCACGCAGGCGTCCAGTTTGAAAATGCCCAAAAGGGAGAGAAGAGATACTGTACTACTGTAATGCCCGCTCCGGTTTCAATAAGCGCAAGAAGTCGTAACCCATTCACGCGGACTGGGATTTGAGTAACGAAAAATTTGCGGTCCACTTCGAACGACAAGACCTGCACCGGAACGATGGAAGCGCGAGGGGGCCATGCGTTTTGAACGTCAATGTCGACCTTCGAAATACCGAGGTCCAACGGTATAATAGGGTGCATTGCGACTACCTGGCCCTTAACTGGGGAGTTAGGTGGGGTTCGTGGCACAGGCGGGGTTCTCGGACTTGCTGCTGTGGAATACATTCTCTTGATGAGGGGCAGCAGCCCCGGGTAGCTAATACAAACGTATGTGATTAGCACAAACTTAATCACTCCTAGCGAAACTATTGCACAACAACAGGCAACCCAAATTTCGAATGGTGACGGCAGTGAGGATGGCCAAAGGGAGCGCAATGGGTTAACGAAAGAGCCAGTGCTCGAGGGGGACCCCTTACCATGATGGATTTGCGCGACGTGGTCCATGAACTTCTCTTGATCCCTTACTGTCCACATCTCCTGGAATCGCGAGTCAGACACAAGCTCGCTAAAATTGGTGAGAATGGGATTGTGAAAGATTGTCAGCTTTGGAGAGAACGAAAGAGCGTCACATGGCGGAAAAGAGGCTACCGACAAGACTTGATGAGCAGGAACGGGAGTTAACTGGCCACTGACCGAGAAAAATTGTACCAAAGAAGAGTTGGACGATAAAACTAGTGGGGAAACGTTGGCGCAATCAATCTTGGGTGCCCTACTGACGAGACGATAACTCCTGTGAAGGGGTTAAGAAAGGCCTGCCAGATCGACCCGCTGCTCAACCGAATCCTGACTTGAGGGTATGCGAAGCAAGTGACATTGAAGGCCTGGAAAACAGTTGCTGAGGGAGGGACCTGGACACAACGGCGAACCTGAACGAAACCATTACCTAGGTGGGTAGCTACCAAATCATTTCGTCCTATGAGATTTCTCATAGTGATGGTAGGATTAGCTTGAAGAGCAGCCTGGAGAGCGACCGCCAAAACGTTCGTTCTATTGCACAGTGCTTGGACTGCGTGTACGAACAAAGCTGACACCGCATCTGCACCGAGCCCTCAACTGCCAATAGCTGCGTGGAAAGCTGGTTAGTAGTTACAAGACCAGCGTCTACTGCGCGAGCAGCTCGGCGAATTACGGCGATGGCGTAGCCCTGATCGGTAATGGTTAACTGCTTAAGGCAATCACACACCACCTGATTATTTTCTGACCAGGAAAGGGCGAATTCTTTTGATTCGCTTATCCAGACATCCCCCATAGAGAATTCTCGCATCTTAGTTACCGGTGTAAAGCGACAACCTTCCTCCTTACCGGCGTCCGAATAAAAACCGAACCATCAGGCAGAATGCATGCTCCATCCTTGTACCTGGAGGAGAGTAAGTCGCCTACAGCTGAATCGGGGACCTCTTCTTCGTGGCGAGTATGTACCGTCGTCTCCAAAAGGTAACAATTGTGCACTACTTGGTTATGGTCAACGCAACAGCCAAAGGGAGCAGCAGGAAATTCAAAATCAAGAACATTCGAAGTTCGCCATACACTACCACGGAGGGATAACTCACTGTGCACGCAGCGCTTACGCCGCGACATAAGCTTGCATTCCTCGGCTGATACGGGAAGGAGCGTTTCCACATGGTTTTCTGTACGAGCCCCAAGGAAGCTTACGGAATATAAAACCGAATGGCGGACAACTTTGCATAGAAAAGCAGGAGAAGAATACTGCTTAGTGTTGGGACGGTGGACGCGGAGAGAGACTGACTGCAGTTGCTTCGTCACGTTGGGAAGAAGACGAGAACAAATAAAAACCGAAGGAACAAAAAAGATGTTAGTAGGGTTCTCGGATGGACAAAGCCATGCGTCAGCTGAAGCAGAAACAGCGGAGATGCATACCAAAGCCAAACAGCAAAGAAATAGAGAATGCACCGAGGGGCTCCCGGTAACGGATGATGAAGGGATGGTCTTGCAGTCGTACGCCACTTTAGCAAGATCCTCGCTGCTGTGCAGCTGAAAGAGCGGAGTCGTCCTGAGGCGCGGCTTGACCGGAGGGAACCCCACAAGTCATGAGGGGGGGGGGCATTGAGGCGGCGGAGGCTGGTAAGAACGACGGATGGAAAAAGCACAGGTAGAATTTTGAACTCGCCTGTTCTTCCTCCTATTGGGTTGATTTATGATCGGAACCGTTCATTGGTAAGCAAGGTGCGAAGTTCTTTCGCAGTTATAGCAACGTCCCGGTGCTTCCTGTTGCGGAGCTCCGGGCGACGACGTTGGTTGTTATCAAAACGTCGAAAATTTCTTTGAAACTTACCTCTGTTGTTGAACCTGTTAAATGGTTGGTTCCGACTACTTACCTCGCTGTCCAACGCGTTTACTGCAGGTACCTGCTGAGCTGGGGTGATGAGGCGCTCTGCAGTCGCCTCGCTAAGTAACTGCTCTACCATCTGTGTCTTGGTGACTGCCTGCTCGAAGGTAGACGGATTATCCAGTTTCACAAAGTACCTGATGTCACTTCGCAAACGGGCCACGAACTCCTCCAAGACGCGGTCTTTCAGAGTGGCAGCGTCCTGTCCAGCTGTTGCTGCTCTTACTGAGTTAAGAACTCGGTTCGCGAAGGTGGCCGAGGACTCCCTTGGCTCCTGACGGCAGGAAGAGAGCTTCTGGCGAGCGACGTACTTTTGCTGCGGGCTCTCGAAAAAGGTTCTCAGGTGACTAGCCACTGAATCAAAATCCTTACGTGCGCTCTCCGTGAGCTCCTCCACTTTCTCGCGGGCAACCCCGTCTAGGTGTCCGATCAGGAAGTTGGCTTTCTGCTCCGAGGTGAGTGGGGAAGGTCGCATCCGTATGACATGTTCGAGGCGGTGGAGCCACGCTGAAGATTGCACACCTTCCTCAGTAGATCCTGAAAAGGGGGTTATCCTGGGAGTCTGCGGATACAACCCGAGCATCGCGACTGTAGGAAGAGCGTCGAGACGGCTGCTGACTGCTGTAAACAACTCATTGAGTTTCCGCGATAAGGAAGTGTTACCTTCATCGATCTTCATTGATCTTCTAAGGCAGATGTCTGCGACGTGGCCTCCTTCCATACCCTTGCAATAGATCGCCTCCGCAATCTGCTGCTTCACAGCATGCAACACGGCAGAATCGTCGAGCTTAGAAAGGGACAATGTGGCTGTAAGTGCGTGCAGCTGATCTAAAAGGATAAGTGGCGGATACCGGCGCACTGGTTCCAACATCCAAAGGTGCCCCATGCTGGGGCAGCAGGTACCTGTCAGTGCAGGAGGAGACGGAGACGACGACGAAGATCCAGAATTCGACGAAGCGACAGGTACCGGCGATGGCGTACGATGTCGCGGCCGGCAAAAATTACAGGGCCGGAAACCTAGTACGGAAACCGGCTGCCTGAGGGGTAGGGAACGATCTACCAGGTAGGTACCAAGAAGATTGGCTACCTTCACCCAGGTGGCAGGGGAGGATCGGTTCAACATCATCGACGGTGCGCGAAACCTGCAGGTACGCGTTAGGCGAACAAGACACTATTTCGCGGCGCCGTATCTTTAACGGGCGCCGCCAGGTATGATAACATATGTAATGGCATAAGCGTGGTAGAGGGAGTGAGAGATGGAGAGAAACGATGAGGCGCAGAGTGCAATTCATAAACGTACGTCAATGGATCCATTTAAGTGGAAGGCAATACTTGCGGGGCTATAATAACATGAATATTACGAAACAAAAAGGAAGAGCTCTCCTGATACCACTATTTAATCACTAATCAAGAATACCGTTAACCGTGATCAGCCCTGATTCCTTAGATTTGCAAAATATTCTCTCCAATTCGTCAGTGAACGACGGGCTGCCTTCACTGAGATGCGTCATAACTTGAACTCATTACGGTGCCTTCCTTACATAACGTGATCCCGACACCAAAGAAAAGAGAACATGCTCTCGCCGACGACCATCAGGCCCCGGGAATGATTCAAATTCAAACAAGGAAGCTTCAAAATTAAAGTTTGCGTGCTTTGAACTTCAAAGGAGGCTGATCGAAGAAAGAAACTGTAGAAGAAATGCCCTTCGGTAAGGTCACGGCTCGCGAGTTAACAAAGAAGCTCTGAAATTAAGTTAAACAAGTCTAAGAAATAAGATGTATCATCATGCCCTTAATGGGAAGCCGCCTATGAACTCAAAACGCATGACTCGTGCCATGGCAAAAAATGATGGGAAAACATTCAAACCCATTCGAAAGGCAAAACACGGGAAAAGTGCAAATTTATGTGACTAATAGGAGATTAATGCAAAAGTGAGTGGGTATGTGATAAAAAAAGCATTGGCAATAAATCAAAATGTTTGACCTACCTATGTGAACTGCCCTCCGAAGTCGCTAAACCAAAAAAAAGAAGGGGGTTGATCAAAATCGATTTTAACGGATCCGAACGAGAAAGGATGGAGGCAGAAGGTTACAGGAGAGAAAAGATTCATTATGATGAGCCTGTCAACAACTGTTGAGCTGTAGAAACGAAAAGAGATGGCCAGATTCATTCTCGTGTACAGGATCAACAGAGCCAGAAGGAAACGGCAGAGCTAACTTGAGAAAACCAAAGGTGAACTGACTTGCCTTCCTCGGAGTCGGACTCGCTGCTACCAGTAGTAGGAGCGGTCATCCCGCTCAGCAGACTGCGCGACCAAGACATGAATAAACAATCAGTTTATAAGTGTGATGGTGAATAAGTATCAGTCCAGTCGGGGTCCTTGTCCGTGGTGAGCCCAGAGGTGACTGCCGACGAAGGCCAGGAGTCCATGATGGCGACACGCTTGATACTCTCGTGTGCGGCCGGCGAGCTTCCATCCTCTCTCGATGTTGCCGTTCGCGAGCCTTAAGTACGAAACACGAGATGAGTCAGCTATCGTAACCTGACATGCTCTTTGCCCTCTTATCCTGTCAGCCTTATCCCAGCTGCGATCTCCCCACCAGGAATCAATGAAAAAGAAATAATAAGGGGGTTCACTTAGATCTTCTACTCGCTCACGTTCCGGTGATCTTACAACCTCTTACAGTAGACGCCCATGTTAGAATATCAAACAGCTAGTTGCAACCCATGGCAACAGTGTGAGACAGTTTTGAACATTTTTGACTCAATGTGATCGGCACTTTACACAGTTGCGGCGACTAAAGCTTGTCCGAATACTCCTTCCATGCCATTTTCGTCATGGTAATCTCGCATACCCTATTTCCACTACCTTCGAGAAGCTTCATTTTTCACAAAACCTGCGAATTTTTTCGCTTTCTTTGCCACCGATGCACTATTTTAGACCAACATTTCCGCTCTTGCAAATGCCACTCCGAAATTATCGTAAATTGTGCCTTCGAAATGGCTGATGTACCATTGAACATATGAACGGTCGAGTGGGCTTTATAGGGTCTGTTCGATACGCCACGTCGGAACATTGCAGGTTTTTGGGGGTGACCGACTTTAACAGAAGTGTTGAACCTATCAGAAAAGGCGATATTTCCCACGTTAACAATTGTACAGACTATCAGGATATAATAGGCTTACAAACGGTTTGCTGTTGGGCTGCTGGTTTGGTGCTTGCTGTCTTATCTGCTTTTGAGCTAGAGAAAGAGCTAGAATTAAGAGCTAGAACATGTAGATCTTGCCGTATCAGAAAAGACAGTGTCGAGTACAGCAATTACGTGAATACATGGCAAAGCTGAAGAGCAGAGAAGAAGTCAAGAAATACGAGAATAATAACGACGAACAAACGAATGGTTCCGGTGTTGTACTTAGTATAGAATAATTTTTATCCACCGCCTTCCAGTTTCAACCTTCCTCCCTCTGTTCATAGAACGCACTTTGCAAACCAGTGTTACATAACTATTCGTGAAGTCAACCAATGGTTTGCAGCTTTTTTGAACTGCAAAAAACGAATCGTTATTGAAGTAAAATTGCGACATTTTTGTGGACGATGCACCAACCTTGGATACGAAAGTCGTCAAATTTTGTCATGGTACAGTACGCAACACCCTTCTTGTTCTTCTTTTCTTCTTCTCCCTAGCGTTAATCCCGCGCCGTCGCAGGGTCCGCTGTTCTTTCCAGCCGTCTCCACTTCATTCTATCTACAGGCGCTGCTCTTTTACCTTCAGCTGAACTGGGGCCGTTTGCATGGCCGCTCTGACGTGTTCATGTCTGATCCGATCCGGCAGCGTCCAGCCGCAGATCCATCTGAGAATTCTCATTTTAGCGGAGTGGAGCTGCTTTTCATGGTTTCTACTAACCGGCCAACACTCGCTGCCACAGAGCATCGCGCGCCTTACCTTTGTCCGATACATCCTTCTTTTAAGCGTCCTAGAGCACCGATGGCGGCAGAGAATACAGGTGGATTCCCTCAACGTCGTCCATCCCGCGTTCATTCGCGATTTTACAGCCTGTTCCACGCAACCCTTAGGGCTACATCACTCTCCAGGTATCGGAGTCCTGTATCTTCCCAATGGCTTCCCCGAGACCGTTGACAATTGACCCAGTGCCCTCCTCGGAGCTGAGGGATTTGGTCTTCTTCGCGTTCAGCCCATTTCTGCCGGCACCTTCTGCCATTTCTGCAGCTTGTCCTGGAGTTCTTTGATGATCTCGACTATCAGAGCGATGTCATCAGCGTAGAGGATGGTCTTTGGCGGTCCATCCTTGAGTTCTCCTGTGATGAGGAAGAGGTAAAGATTGAGACCAGAGCTGATTCCTGGTGTACCCAGCAGTGACATCTATTGCGCCGGTCCTGCCTGTCGTGGAGGAAATGGGAAACCCAGTTTACGAGAGCGGGGTGGAAACACAACATCTATAGCTTATGAAGCAGTCTATTGTGAGGTACTCTATCAAAGGCTTTCGCAAAGTCAAAGTATGTAACGTCACAACATTGACTATTATCAAGAACTACGGTCCAGTCCTCAAGGCTTTTAATCATGTTCGTCTCCACCGACCTTCCAGGGATAAAACGATGTTGGACACGTGGTATTATTCTGTTAGTCGCAGCATACTCGAGTGTGTGTTCTTTAATCGTTCTTTTTCTCAAAAAGTCTGCAAAACAAAGATGTTATGCTGATCGGTCGATAATTCGCAGGATCAGAGGAAGGTTCCTTCTTAAGAACCGGAGTGACGAAAGAATGTTTCCAGCGTGCAGAAACCTCTCCCTTCATGAGCGATTGTTTGAATATGTATGACAGCCGCTCACATATAACATCGGCCACCTTCTGGATAACGAGTAACGGAATGAAGTCAGAAAAGACTGAAGAAGACTTGGGCCAGCTCATTATCCGTTCATACATCTGTTCTGCGTGAAACCATGGTAGTTCCTTCATAGTCGAGGCGGAGGTTGGTGAAAATAGAGGAATATTGGCATCTTTAATTGAGAAGGACTTTGAGAACTGGTCAGCAAACATGTTAGCTTTGTCGTGTGGATTACATGCCATGAAGACACCACACCTCAGAAACCTTATGCACCCTTTACCATGCAATTTTCTATTCAAATATGATGTGGAGTCGAGACGGAGAAGATTTATTGAAGAAGACGAACTGGATACAATGATAACTAGTGAAAAGGCCGGGTTTATACACTAGTTGTCCTGGTCAAATACCCTGGTCAAACTGCAGTAACATCAGATCAAAACCTACGATTTGGCACCTAAAAGGTGGTCTTTAATTGACTATGGTAGACAAAATGGACAGCTAGAAGCCTACAACAGTGAATGAAGTTTGCAAAAAGGCCTGTAAAAGTTTGAATTCCCAGATCCTACCATCTTCTTCTCGATGTTATTAACGTACTCAGTGAGGCGTGTAAGGAAGACCCCTGTGAATTCACTGTACTTGGACCAGTTTCCGGTTCGCCTTGCTTCATGGGAGAGGCAATCTCGATGCTCACTCATATTTCTCAAATAAGAAATGGTCAAGAAATAGACTTAAACGAGGTCACCCTCTCCCAAGGGACATAGTAATCAATGGCAGTGTGCAGTACTGTCAATAACAACTCATACTTCTCATTGACACTACCCCAGCTCTCAAGTAAGTCAACCCAGTGTATGCGAGAAAGATCACTTCGCAAGTATTCAAAATACTCAG